CGATATCAAAAGTTTGCCTGCGCTGTTGCTACAGTAGAAATGGCTGGTTTCATATCATCCTACTAATTGCAAATTTTTGTGTAATTTTGATAAACACTTGAGAGCAGAGTACATATGGCTCATCCCAAAATAATGAAAATGATATTTAGGAGACCAGCTGTCAAGGCAGCCGTGCTGCTTCTTTTGGCTGTTTTTATTGCTGTTATATCTGTTTCCATAGTCAGTCAGACAACTGTGTGGATTTTGCTATTTAAGTGAAAATAAAGATTTCCCCCCTTTTTCTGGGAGCTCAGATTTCAGGGGAGCTAGCAGAATCTAGAAGAGGTTCTTCTAAAAGGATGCAGGATGATTTGTGAATAGCCATGGCAGAGGTATGCTGCCCCCAAAGCTTTCCTAAAAGGCATCATAAGGAGATGGAAGGAGGGAAGATCAAAATGGAGTAATTTTCCTGGGCGCTGCTTGGAGAATCCAAGCATCGGTTAAATGTAGTCAATCTGCCCAGGACTGAATTGAAACTTTTAGCCATGCCTCTGGTGCTGACCAGTCTCCATTTTTTTTCAACTCAGTCAGCCCAGTGGACGCGCTTCAAGTTTTTTCTTCATTCCTAGCAGATTGCTTGGACTCTCCAATTTTGTTTTTTACCTCTTTAGGTTCCCTTTTGTCCTTCGTGAGCAGGCTTGATGAGCAAATTGTTTCCTTTCCCTTTAATTGGCTCGTTTTCACCATCTTCAGCCTCTCCAGTGTCCTGGGTTCGCATGGGCGCTGCGAGGCTGCAGGCAGCTGTTGGAGGAGATGTGTGGGTCGGAGTGCCAACGCCCATGCGATCGCAGCTACTGCGCTACAATTAGGTTCCCCGCATACCATTTTCAAAACATGGTATGCTATCATCTACTTGTATCAGCTGATTGTGTTTGTCTCTGCCCATGAGTTTCTAGAGAAATCTTCACGACATTTTACACATGTAGGGAACAGAAAATCTTGTAGAAGTTTTTGTTCCAAATACTTCAGAAGGAGTACAAATTTCCTACGTTCAAGAGAAGAACAGCTGAACCTCATGAGCATAAACATTATGATAGCACTTCCTTGACTCTTTTGAAGAGCCCATTCAAAAGATATCAGAGTTCTAGTGGACCGATAGAGTGTTAGGTTTCTCCAAACAGAGATCTTTTGGCAGTATGAGAGACAACTTTATGCAAAATTTTAGAGATGGGGTTCTATCCTGAAGAAGATTTGCATCATAAAAATTATTTTAGTACATTTGTTTTCTGCTTATCATTCCTCAACCAACAATAACCCAGTAAAGAAGGCTGAGGAAGAATGGCCCAAAATCAACTCAGTGGCTAAGGTTAGATAAGAACCTGATCACCCCTACCGCTTTCATCTTAAGCATCATATTGGTTCTCGCATACTATGATTATGTTGCTAGTTTTTGAGGAGTTAAATTGGATGTACAAAATATAAAGACTCTATTATACTCTTCAGATTCTCATTTGTGTAACTAATTTTTCTTTTGGTTTTCTAGCATACGTCATGCAGAAATGACTGTCATTCTGCATTTTATCTACGGAGCAGTTCTGGAGTTCCCTAAAAATGTAAACGCTGGGTATGTGTTGTTTTTAATAACATTCCATGCCTATTTCCTAACTCTTAACAAACTGTATTTAAACAGAAGTAGCATCTTAAGAACCAGAAATGAAGTTATAATAGTGCCAGAAATGATTAACCTTGCAATGTAACCTGTATTTTAGCACAAGAATAATAGTATTTGTGTTTTTGAGATAATTATTCTGAGTATTCATATGCTAAGTAGGTAGGACTCAGATAGAAAATGCTTGCTGGAATGTTTCTATTTATTGCAGCAAATTGCTGAATGAGTTCACATAGTGCAGTAAATTATATTGTGGTTTGTTTGGTTTATGGTTTAATAAGCAGGCATGCAAACATTCTTACATACAGATCCTAGCTACTAGTTAAGGGACTTTAAGCAGAATATATGATTGTATGATTTCTTTGTAAACTCTCTGATATCCCATCTCAAGGGTGAATTTTCCCTCATTCCAATCTGTGTGAAATCTAATATCAATTATAAACTAAACAGCTAAATAATTAAGATCACTCTTGTCTCTCTTAACCAGACTTTGTTGTAACCAGCTTCTAACCAGCTTCTATCCAGCTTCTATCTAATTAAGGAACTATATCTAAAGTGCTTAACCTTACTTTGAGATATTGAAGTCTTACCTTGGTAATAGGAAGTAGGAAGTAGGCCAAGCAACCTGCTACTGTTCAAAGATTTTATATTTCAAATCCCATCAGCACCAGCCAGTTTAGTCAGTGGCAAACAATTACAGGAAGTATACTCTGATCATTTGGAAGCATTAAGTTTTCTATTCTGGGATAAGGTGAATGTTTCAATTAAAAAAGGTGAATATTTTGGGTTATTCCAACCCAACAGATTAAATAGAATAGAGTTGAGGACTACAGCAGGCCAGAGAGAATTTTAATTAGATTTTAACTAGACCTATGAGAAGATAAACTCTAAATGCAGGTAGTCCTCTACTTATGACCACAATTGAGCCCCAAATTTATGTTGCTAAATGAGAAACTTGTTAAGTGGATTTTGCCCCATTTTACGACTTTTCTTGCCACATTTGTTAAGTGAATTACTGCAGTTCTTAAATTAGTAACACAATTGTTAAGTGAATCCGGTTTCCCCGTTGACTTTGCTTTGTCAGAAGGATGCAAAAGGAGATCACATGACTGCAGGGCACTGCGGCTGTCATAAATGTGAGTCAGTTGTGAAACATCCAAATGTAAATCATGTGACCATGGGGATGCTGCAAAGATGAAGAATGGTCATAACTCACTTTTTTCAGTGCCGTTGTAACTTTGAACTGTCTCTAACTCTCTCACTTGAGAGACCGCCTGCTGCCATTTACCTCCAATAGACCGATTAGATCCCACAGATTAGGCCTCCTCCGAATTCCATCCGCCGGCCAATGCCGACTGGCAACCACCCGGAGGAGAGCCTTCTCTGTGGCTGCTCCGACCCTCTGGAACGAGCTCCCCGTGGAGATTCGAACCCTCACCACCCTTCAGGCCTTCCGCAAAGCCCTTAAAACCTGGCTGTTCCGACAGGCCTGGGGCTAAAGAACTTTTGCCCCCCTCCTCGAATGGTATGGCTGTTGTGTGCTTTTAAATTGTGTATTGTTATGTTCGTCTTTTTTTATCCCCTGTCTGTACCCCCTGACTTGAATTGTGAGCCGCCCTGAGTCCCCTTCGGGGAAAAGGGCGACATATAAATGTAAAGGGCTGCATATAAATGTAATAAATCCAATCCA